ATAATTCTCATGGTCATGATGTTCAGTGCCGTGAGAAGAGAAATAAGAAAAAGAAGAAGATGATGATGATGATGAAGAAACGGCCACTAGTAGTTAAGGAAGCTGTGTCCGATTTGGTATAATTGTTTGAAGTTTAGTTATCACGAAATTAAATAATTTTCTCTCATCAGTCAGAATTCACAAAGCAGAGCATCGACCTACAGCTGCACATGGTTTATTGTTAAGTTGTGTAATGATCAATATTAAGGTATATGTTGTAGGAGTTCTAATAATGTATTTCACGTGTTGAGGTTATGTGTATTCGTTTAACCTAATTTTAGACTAACAACGAAAAGCAGTCATGTAATTTATTTTAGAACTGAATCATAGTGCAAATTCTCTTGGAACATTTGGAAGGAAGATGATTGTGTATATAAGACATGCAGTATACAAACATCAGGGCAGGTTAGTAATGGGACAAAATAAGGAGGGTAATTGGGTAGTTAGAAAAATACAAGGTTTTGTTCGACGTCAGATGTAAAATTAAGGAGTATGTGACAAAAATTAGTGCTTGGTTATATGAAACAAAAGAATTAATGTATTTTGTAGTATGCATGTTATGTAAACCACTTTATAGCTGAGTTACTTGTAAATGCCCTTCAAAGATGTCATGTGCAGTGTAATATTTACATTACAAACTCGTTGTGAATGGTAATAAGTCACTAATTCTATGGAATAGATTCCTCCTTGCAAAGTCAATATGTTGGAAACATCTATGTCATTGAACATTCATACACAAATAACTAATTATATTAAAGTTTGGGATTAACTTTATGTACTGTTGTTAGTGAATTTGTTTGTCAGATAGCAATTAAAAATCTTCTTGCTCAACACTACTACTTAACTTACAGCTTAACGTGAGACAGTAGATGGAACACATACAGTGATATTTCAACAAGGATTTATTTGCATCATATATATGCGAACAATGTACAGAAAATTCTGAATCTGACAGTATTGGCTGTTTTTCATAAAACTTTCCACTTCCTTGATAGCAGTTTATGACACTGGTGGGTCTGTAGTGCATAATGTTCTTTTGCATATTTTTAGAAAATATAATGATTGTTTCTTAAGAAAGGTTTATAAAATGATGTTTTTGAATGGGTATAAACCACTTTAGTATCAAACATAAAATAACCATACTTTCTGTGTACTAAATCATAAAGTTGTGGAGGTGGGCATGGAGTATGAAGCTTCACATATTTTTGGTTTTGAAATTAGGTGTTGTTCAGCCTCACACCTTACCTCCTTTTACGTTTAGAAAAACATATATAACTATTAACATTTCATGACAGTAGGCACTGTAATTCAGTGAAATTCCAATCTTGTTACTTTATGTATAGTTATGTTAATTTTCCCAGTGAGTTCACTTGCTGATAGAGGAAGGATAATTTTCAGTTTTAATATTAATTTTTTAAATGTGGTTATTGTTTGATTTTTGTTAAATATGCTTTCTTATCAAGACATTAAATTTCATTTTAGCAAAATGAGTTCTGTATGTTTGTTTTACTTAAAAGATGTTTTTAGTATGTATGAATTTGTGATTTATATTCTTTTATTTAGCAGTTGACAAAAATGGCATCCAGTGGTAAGGTGGAACAATCTCAACTACTTATTGCTCTTGGTGACAAGAATAAGAGAATTCCTGTGGTAAAACTGGAGCGAGTAGAAACTCTGTATTCAACTTTCAAGAAAGTTACAAGCAAGTCATTGGTGAGTAATAATGTCAGAGAACATAGGAGTTCATGTGTTTAGTGTGAATAGAACTTTAGAATGCTGTTGCAGCTAACCCTAGTGGATACCAGAAATGAAAATAAATTAAAATATGTAACGTAAATGTTTTAAATAAATTATTATGTAAAAGTCCTGCACATTTGTGCTTGTGCATGGGTCTGATACATAACTTTAAAATATATTTGTGTCCCCTATTGTGGTACCTATTAACAGCTCACTGACTGTCATATACAGTGCAAATTGAAACATGTCACATTGAGCTGTAGTTTGTTGTGCAATGATGCTCTAAGGCTTCAAAAGAGGTTCAAATGTGAGTCAGTATCTTAAAGTTTGGCTACATGATTTTCACAATATATCTGTATTAGGTGCCATTGTTTTCTGGTAGCTTTTGAAATTTGGGATACTAACCCTCAGATATAAAGGCATGAACACACTATTAACTGCAGGGATGCAAGAAGAAAACTTTAGTTATGTGAACAGTGTTATTAAGGAGGATTCACTATTAACACAAAGATACTTATGCGGAATCAAGCATAAGTCCATCAAATTTTATTGCCATGTTGTGTAATCAATTTCAGAACCTAACAGAAGTTAAAAACAAACAGAAGTGGAATGCTTGAATAATGTGACAATGTAAATGATACACAAGTTGTGACATTGTTATGGACATGTAGTTTTATCTAAAACAACACTTTAGGCATCCAGTTAGGTCTTTCCTGAGAACACTACCTCCATGAAAGTGGCAAGTTCAAGATAATTTGGAAAGAACATGGTGGTGGTTTCTTTGTTTTGAGTAAGTTTTCAGGTGGCTTCCATTATGCTCAACATTCATCATACTGTTTCTTCACGGTGGGACACATAATTTGCTGTACCTAAGTAAGTGTGGCCCACAACAATTCTGTGCTCCAGAGGACTAATTCCTCACATGCAGTAGACACCATAGTTACTTTCCTGCAGAACACACTAGTATTACTACAAAAAATGGAGTCATGCTATTACATCTGGGGTATGCTGGAAAGTTGTATCAAATAAGGAGATGAATTCAAATGGAAACAGTTGTTGAAATAAGGATGACTTACAGTATCTGAATTTCAGAACTTTGTACTTATCTACATATAAGTTTCTCATGATCACTGTATAAGGTAAAGGGCAGTATCATGTTAAAATCTCAAACAGGTTTGCAGCTATGGAAAACTTAGATGGTGATGCAGATATCAATAGAGCTTGGGAAACCATTAGCGAGAATATCGAATTTCAGCCAAGGAGAATCTAGGTCATTAAAAAGTGAAGCAGCATAAGTTATAGTTTGATAGAAGATCTTTAAAAACATTTGATTCAAGGAAAGAAGCCAAATTGCAGTGGTTACAGGATCTGAGACAAATAAGTGGAGATAATCTGAACAATGTACGATGTGAAGCTAGTAAACAATTCAGGATCAAAAAGAGGAATATCTGAAAGACAAAAATAATGAGAGGCATAAATGAATTTAAGAAGGGTTACCAACCTTGAAGTAACTTGGTAATGAATGAGAATGGTGATCTACTTGTACATTCCCACAACATTTTGAAGAGGTGGAAGAATTACTTATCTCAGCTGTTGAATGTTCATATGGTTAGTGATGTTGAGCAGATGGAAATGCATACAGATGAGCCATTAGTAACTGATCCTAGTTCTTTTGATGTTGAAATTGCTATTGCAAAGTTGAAAACGTATAAATTGCCAAGTAATGATCAAATTTTGGTTATAACTGATTCAAGCAGGAGGTGAAACATTACATTCTGAGATCCATAAACTCTTTCATTCTATTTGGAATAAAGAAGAATTGCATCAGCAAAAATGATGATGTTATCACAAGACAACTGAAATATCAATGTGAAATACATCACCACAGAAACAGGGAATTCCATTCACATGTTCAGCAGTTCAGCTAGTTGGGAAAAGAACACTTTGCAGATACATTTAGACTTACCCTCATATAATTTGACCACTGAGGAGATATGGAATCAAAATAATAATGTGTATGTTTATATAGTAACTAGTACCTGTTTATCCCATTCCATATATCCTATAGGGAAGAAAATAAGAATAACAAATAAATGTTTGTTTCAGAAAATTTATTTCTTGTAGAAGTTTGTAACTGGATACAATTGAATACCATATTAGTAGAGACTTATGTATGAAAATCTGTAGATCCCTTCTTTGTGCCTTTTACATCACCTCAAATTCTTGTACACATTTTTTCCTGTTGAAGGATACATCAAGTTCTGAAACATTGACACTGTTCTTAGTCCTTGACACAATGATATAGCAAGTAGTTGGTGTAATGAACTTACATTTTTGTCCAGTGCTTTATTTCACAATAGATATCTGCTTTATTGTGTTTATATGTTTGCTTTATTTCCTCTTTGTTGGTAAATATATCCTTAGTGTTTATAGTATTTTATTTAAACATGGCACACTTCAAGAGGAAATTTAATGGGTGTTTTGTGCACATCAGGTGTGATTTTAACATGTGGTTTGCTTGAACTTCGCTAAATAAAGTTCATCTTACTGTGTACCAAATTTAGCCTACTTCTGTTTTCACAAACCTTGTGGCATTGCAATGGTACATTACCCTCTGGAAATTAAGGTGCTCAGTATGTAACAGAAGGGAGATGACGAATTTACAAACTAATTATCACTTTTGAAGTGCACAATTGAAACATCCGTGTTCTATGCTTTCAGATTTCTTCTGATACGGCTGATGAAGAAAAGAGAAAAGAATTAAGTTATGTGAATAAAGAATTTAATAGACGATTAACAGGAGAGCCAAATGATTGTGGTAAATCAGTGTTTTCTGATAGTTATAATGAAGACTGTCAAGTTGATATTTCAGTCTCTTCAGAGCCTCCAAAGAAACACTATAAATTGGGGAAAGAAACTGCTGAGTGTGATAGTTTGTTGTCTAGAGCCTCAGTACCTAAAGAGTTAAGTGTTGTGATTGAAGAAGGAAAAACAACAGATGAAAGTTCTGTATCTCAGAATTGTGAAGTAGTGACAGTTGAATGTGATTCAAATGCCTTGCTAACATTTCCAAGGAATGATGAATGTGCTGTAGACCCATTGTCATTATGTAAAAATGAAACGCCTGTCATAAAATCAAAAATAGACTCTGGGAATGATGAATGTGAAGTATATTTGGAAACA